TTGGAGAGCTTTACCGCCGATTCGAGGGGGTATGCGCTCTCTGAACCTGTGTACCGACTATTACGCTATTACGCTCTATTGCGCCACAAATTAATCGGAATTTAGCTAAAAACGGCCTAAAACACACCAAAATTGATAAAATTTTGACAATTTCGGCTATTACCTGACTATTACGCGTATTATTACGCGTGCTATTACAGATAGAGTGAACCGACTATTACGCGAGTGCATACCCCCTCGCGCCGATTTCTTGGCGCACTGAGAGAACGTAAAAGGCGGTAATATTTTGTACCTCCTTTTTCGCACCATCTAAATGGCATGCAATGGGCGGTAATACTTTGTACCGCCTTTTTCGTTCAATTTGTAGGGTGCGTAATTGGCGGGCTCCAGATTTTACCGCCAATAGAAAGGCGGTACAGGTTTTACCGCCTTTTCCACACCATGTGTACCGCCAATAGATTTGTAGTGAGTGTGCAGCCGACGACGGACCGGACATTGCAACTTTGTGGCTGACAAAGAAATTTGCCGCCTGGTTGCCGCGGGTTTTTGTCCTGCGCTAAAAGTTCCGTTTCCCCGCTCGGCCGCAGCCGCAGAGGCGAGGGGAAGGGAGGGGGGGTGGGGGGCGGCTGCGCTTCGGCCGCCTTTTCAAACTCGCCCTTTCACTGTAAAAAAAAATTTCTGAAATTTCAGACAAAATTTGACTGAAGTTAATTAACAGTAAGGGGTTCTGAAATTTTAGACCATTTCGGCGGTCTGAAAATTTAGAGTAGGGTGGTCTCAAAGTTTAGAATTGGGTCGTCTGAAAATTAAGATTTAGGTGGTCTGAATTATCAGACACGGCCAGTCTGAAGAAAATTGAGACAAAACCACAAAATTGTAACGTTGAACCTTCACTCCATTGCGAGAGAGGTCTTCGATAGAACTTGCGCGTTACTTATCGGCCGTGCTCTTTACTCGGAAACTCCGAATATCTTGGTATTCGAACCATCGAATCCTCGCTCGTCGGCCTTGCGGGCTATCCATTACACCACGGGACCGCTCTGAGAGCTCGGCTGCAGGATGCCGATGACTCCAAGCGCGCTCGCTGGACGCTGGGAGGCCTCAAATGAACAAACCAAGGGCGTGTTGCGGGAGTTTAACTGCGGACAACTTGGGCTGTTTGTGAATATTTAAGATTTTGTATCGAGCGCTCAAATATTGCTGTTAAATTTGGTCAAGTGAGGCAACCAGTCTGACATTACAGAAGAATACGTCTCCCGTTTCAGACCCATGGTCTGAAAATACACAACCAGTTTGAAATTTAAGATCAATCGGCCTTCCTTTTCAGGACAATAGTCTGAAAAAGCGATTCAGACCACATGGTCTTGTACTTAGTCAGAATTTTCAGTCACCCCTGTCAGACTTTTTGTCTGGATGGTCTGAAATTGCTTTTAAGACTGCGAAAGTCTAAAATTTCATCCGAGGATTCTTCTTTTGCATACTTCTGGTCTTAATTCAGAAATCAGACCACTAGGTCTTTCAAAATTGGTCTGAATTTTAAGATTTTTTTAAACAGTGTTTGTCTTTCGATAGGTCGATACGTCGCTGGAATCGCCTCGTTATCACTTCCTTCCGCTCTCCGCCCACAAAGGGCCATGCATGAATTAACGTTGCGCGCAAAGCGAGGCGCAAAGGGGAAGGGGGTGGGCAGGACGCGCTTCTTTTGATCAAAGGGACAACTTGATGATGCTTCCTAAAGCAAATAAGTGTACGCAAACTGAAGCCTTTTCATTCCATCAATCACAGATCAATCAATTCGATCAGTACGAGAGAGACCGAGCGACGAAAACGACTCTCGGAATCAGTCTGCACTGAAAAACCAAACGTGGTCCAGACCGCACCACTGGAGTGGTCAGATGGGTGCCATTTTGACCACATCAGTTGGTGTGATCTAGACCACGTTTAGGCACGTTTGGTGTGGTCTAGACCACGTTTGGGCACGTTTAGTGTGGTCTAGACAACACCAAAATTTTAAATGCACCAAACGTGGTCTAGACCACACCGACTGGTGTGGTCAAAATGGCATCCATTTGACCACACCTGTTGGTGCGGTCTAGATCACGTTTGGTTTTTCAGTGTGCTGTCGGTGTGGTGTCTGGTCATTCCCCGAGGCTCCGTGTCCGCGTCCACTCATCGGCACTCCGACACGCTCGCCGAGCGACAAAACGACACTGTGCAAGCAAGAGCGAGCGAGACAGAGCGACGACATCGGCTCCCGGAATCAGTCCGCGCTGTTTGTGTGTGTGGTCATTCCCCGGGGCTCCGTGTCCGTGTACACCAGTGTACACGCCGTGTCAACAACTCGGCGGCACTCCGACACGCTCGCTGAGCGGGGCACAGTGGGCCGGTGGAGGCGGCCAAAACTCCAGACGCGTTTTGAGCTCCAGAGCCGCTAAACGGGACTCGAACCGACCGTGTGACCCCACGAATGGATTGCTCTCCGAACGAGGAACCCATTGGTGGGGTCACACGTTCGGTTCGAGTCCCATTTAGCGACTCTGGAGCTCAAAACGCGTCTAAGAGTTTTGGCCGCCTCCACCGGTCTTCTGGCCCACTGTGCGGGGTACCACCGTCGCACTCGTCTCTCTCGCACTCACGGGTGTGTCCCGCACGGGTGCGAGAGAGACGGAGCGACAGAGCGCCGTTCGGAATCGGTAAACTGCTGCCTCGCTGCCGCTGCATAATGCATGCCCGGTGTGAGATCGTCGCGCCGCGGCCCACAGCTGTCTGGCTGATTCAGCTGATTCCGAAGGGCGCCGCCGTCGCTCCGTCTCTCTCGCACTCATCAGGCGGCCCGTGCGGCCCGCAGGGGTGCGAGAGAGAGGGAGCGATTATAAACCGCTGTTCTGATTCTGAAGCGGCCTCCGCAGACAAGCGCCACCGCGCCCCGGGGCGCGCACAGCACAGCACACAGGTAACGCGATGTAACAAGTGGAGGGAGAGGGGAAGGGGGACATGGAGGGGGGAGGGGGAGGGGAAGACAATCGGCGGCCATCTGTCGCGCCGGTTATTTTCGGCGGCGAAATTTTGGTCCGTGCCGGGGCACTGCTTCACGGCTTGGGCTGGGCCCTGCAAGACGCCTGCAGTTGTTGCGCGGGTCTCGACGGAGTGCCCCTCGGAGTGCTCTCAGTGCACTCGCAGTGCAACGCAGAGCAGCGGGCGGGGCGAGGGCAGGCTAGAGTCCTAGAGTCCTAGAGTCCTAGGGTCCTAGAGTCCTAGAGTCCTAGGGTCCTAGGGTCCTAGAGTCCTAGAGTCCTAGGGTCCTAGAGTCCTAGGGTCCTAGAGTCCTAGAGTCCTAGAGTCCTAGAGTCCTAGGGTCCTAGAGTCCTAGAGTCCTAGGGTCCTAGAGTCAGAGTCCTAGAGTCCTAGAGTCCTAGGGTTCCAGGACCCTAGGGTCGGCGAGGGCTGTGCCGCTGCGCCTTGGCTGCGCCCCGGTCGGGTCGCGGAGTCGCGGGCGTCCGACGTGGACCTGCACTTTGACTCGCCGCCCGCCGCGATTGTGTGCGTTATTATGTATTTATTATTATAGCGGTCCGAAACGAAACGAACGGAGCCGGCTCTTCGGGCTCTTCTGATACGGAAGCGACCCGACGAAAGCGGGAAAATTATAAAGTCCATCCAGTCCAGGCCGTTATCACCGCCCGCTGCAGCAGCAGCAGAGGGGCTGGCCGGCGGGTTGTGCTCCGACAACTCGTCTTCGACTTGGTCTCAGTGAAGGCCCCGACCGCCGACCGCCACCACGCGCGGCCTCCGCCCTCAAGAAGAGCTAAGTCAAGTCGAGTGAAGCTAAGTCAAGTCAAGCTAAGTCTAGTGAAGCTAAGTCAAGTGAAGTTACGTCAAGTGAAGCTAAGTCAAGAAGCTAAGTCAAGTGAAGCTGAGTCTAGTGAAGCCAAGTCAAGTCAAGTGAAGCTAAGTCAAGTGAAGCTAAGTCAAGTCGAGTGAAGCTAAGTCAAGTCAAGTGAAGCTAAGTCAAGCCAAGTAAAGCTAAGCCAAAGCCAAGTCAAGCTAAGTTGAAACAAAGTCAGGCCAAAAGAAAGTCAAGTCAAAACAAGTTAAGACAAGTCAAGAAGTTAAGTCCAGTTAAGTCCAGCAAGTCAAGAAGTCAAGCCGTCAAACCAGGGGCTCCTACTTGCAGGCTGTGGTGCAACCAACCCCGAACCAACCCCCCTGGCGCTGCCCCTTGGCCGGCCGGCGCGCGAAAGTGTGTGGAAATTGGAGACCTCGCGGCGCCAACTCCGCGACGACGCCCTCTGCCGGCGGTAGCGCCACCGTAAGGCCCCAGCACCCGAAGCTAGGCCCTCTGCCAGATAGCAGCCGTGTAGTGTCGTGTGTTTGCACAGTGGTGGGCTCCTTCGGTACCTCTCGGTACCTCTCGGGGCGCCTTTCGGTGCCTCTCGAGTCCCGACGGACGGTGCTGCCTGTGTCTGACTGTCTGTGCGTCGACCGCCGAAGCGAGAGTGTGCCCGCCCCGCCGTGCCAGGCGGAGTCAAGCAAGGTCACACCGCGTCGCCGCGCGTTGCCGGGCCCCGAAGAGCGGCTTCTTTCTGGTTTCTGGTTTGGTTATCGAGCGCGGAGCGGAGCGGCGACGTCCAGGTTTGCCCGGGTTTGACCTTGCCGCGAACCGCGACCCAGTGGAGTCAGCGGCCAACAGCGACCAGTGCCCGTCTAGCAGTGTAGCAGTCTAGCAGGCCGTGATTGTGTGGCCGGCCTAACCATAACCAAGAAGCCAGTGGAACGAGTGGACGACGACCGCGGGACGCGGCCACTCCGATATCTTTAGCCATCGCGATACGCAACGCGCGCTACGCTTTGGTGGCCCGCCCCCCGCCGCCCCGCCCCCTGCTGCGCCAGCGCCGCCCCCGCCACCCCCCGCCCCCCCGCCCGCCGCGACGCCGCGCCCCGCGCCCGCACCACTGCAGTCGCCGAGCTTGAGCTGCTGCAGCGCTTTGTCGCGGTGACGCGTCGCGTGTCGCGTTCGGGATTTGGAGGTGCGGTTCGTGCCGCCAGAGCGAGCAGCAGCAGCGCGTCGGGGAGTGCGAGTGGTCCGAGTCCGCCGGCCGGCCAGCTGATCGCCGTCGCCGCCAACATGTCGGCGTCGTCGAGGATTATCATCGGCGGCAGCGGCCCGATTAGCCGTGAGATGCTAAGCGCCGGGGCCCCCGCGCTGTCCGCCGAGGCGGGGCGGCTGCGGGGGGCATGGCGGTGGCAGTGGCGGCGTTTTGGAGCCGGCCAGGCCTGCGGCCCCTGCGGCCGCGCGATGGGCCTAGCGACCGCAAGCCCGCGGCCTCTCGCGGCTCTGGCGGCCATCAGTCCGCCGTCGGCCGTCACGACCGCCGTGACCAGCAGCACCAGGAGCATGGCCACCACCAGCAGCTGCAAGCGGCAGAAATGCCTCAACATCGACAACATGAACCCCTGCGTCAAGGTGATGGAGTACGCCGTCAGAGGCCCGCTCGTCATCCGCGCCGCCGAGATCGAGAAGGAACTGGAGCAGGTACGTCATGGTGGAGGCCTAGGCCTTGGGGCTGAGCTGTCAAACCCGGCCGCTGGCCGCGCCCCGCCCACCCGGGCGCAGCACCCGGGGGCTGTCACACTGCAAGGGGGCGTTGGCGGGCTGCCCGGCCGGCCGTCCCGATCACCTGGCCGTCGAACGGCCTGGAGGCTCCAGCGGGGACCTGGAACGCGGCCAGGCCGACAGCCGCCCGGCCGGCCATAACCTGTACGACCTGTACACTGTAGGCTGGGCTGCTTTTTAGCCAGCGGACTGATTCCGAGAGTCGTTTTCGTCGCTCTGTCTCTGTCGCACCGATTTGGGACGCCCCGTGAGTGCGAGAGAGACAGAGCGATTAGAGTGACTCTTGGAATCCGTCTGCTGGTAAGGGAGGTTATGCAACCTGTCATTGCGGAGCCGAAAAGTGAGGGATTTTCAATTTTTCGCAGACTAGGTGTAGGAAGACTGTGGGAATGTCGTCATGTAGGTGTGGAGGAAGGTTGTTGCCCTCAGGTCGTAGTTTAAAAAAATTTGATAGGGCTTGCCAAGACATATACCAAGGCACACTCAAGGGTTAATTCATAGATTCCTTTCCAAAATCAATGCTTTATATCTTGCGAATTGATTTATTTCATTCATTTATTCATTTCCACCCACGACAGTGGTCTCTGTGCTTGACACATGCCGCCAATTGATTTGACGCTGAAATGTGATAGCTTTGACAGTAGTGTCTCTATGTTCCAGGGCCAGAAGAAGCCATTCAACTCTGTGCTGAAGGCTAATATTGGTGATTGTCATGCTATGGGACAGGTTCCAATCACATTCATCAGACAGGTAAACTATTGATATTTCTCTCTTAAACTATTTTTTTTGTTATTATCCATCATTCATTTCAATTTAAATAGTTTTCTTTCTGTAACTGTTAACAAAAATTGCAATTTTCTCATGTTACAGGTATTGGCTTTGATATCATACACACCTCTCCTTGATGATCCCAAGTTCCCTGAGGATGCTAAACAGCGAGCACGAGAGATTCTTAAAGGTTGCAGAGGTGGAAGTGTTGGTATGTTTTCGTGTGAATGTGCATATGCCATTAAGAAAGTGACGGAATAGAAAATTGATTTTTGAATTTGTTCTTTTAGGATCCTACACGGACTCCCCTGGTATTGAATACATCAGGAAACATGTCGCTGAGTACATTCAGCGTAGAGACGGCGGAGTGCCCTGCGACTGGCAAGATGTTACGCTGTGTGCTGGTGCCTCTGATGGAATTAAGGTCAGTTTCCACTCTTCATTAAAATAGATTTTCTACACGGAAACAGTTTATGATGCTGATATACTTTCTTATTTACTCAGGCTGTCCTAAAACTTATGATTCATGAAGAAAATGGTAAAAAACCTGGTGTGATGGTTCCTATTCCACAATATCCTCTGTACTCAGCATCGATTGCAGAATTTAACATGGGCTTGGTAAGTCTCAATATTCTGTTTTCCCACTTTTTCCATGGCTCCAACTTCTTCTGTTTCAACCTCAAAATCATTTTTGTAATTAAATTTCTGTACTTATTGCAGGTGAGTTATTATCTTAATGAAGAAAAGAACTGGGGCTTGGACGTTCAAGAACTTGAACGGTCCATTAATGAGGCAAGGAAAACCTACAACCCCAGGGCCATTGTTGTCATCAACCCTGGTAACCCCACAGGTAAGTTGTTACTCCCAAACAATTGTTAAGTCTGTGTAACATTGAAAATTTTAAGGAAGTGAAGTAATTTCTTTTCCCATAAATTTACTTTACAGGTCAAGTTTTATCACGGGAAAATATTGAGGAAATTATCAAATTTGCTTACAAGGAAAATCTGTTTATTTTTGCTGATGAGGTGTATCAGGATAATGTTTATGCGGAAGGAAGCAAGTTCCACTCATTTAAGAAAGTCCTTACGGAAATGGGAGAACCTTACAGCAAGGTGGAATTGGCCTCATTCATGTCATGTTCCAAAGGTCAGTTTTTGTTGTTTCTGAATTCCATGTATTTTCTTTTAACTGAACTTTTAGCTTAAGTGTGATAAGGAAATTAATCGATAATAGTAATTATTACTCTGTCTCTTCCATATCAGGCTACATGGGTGAGTGCGGCTTGCGTGGAGGCTACTCCGAAGTTATTAACTTGTGCCCTCAGGTTAAGGCTATGTATATGAAATCAATCTCTGCCATGCTTTGCCCTACTGTCCTAGGACAGGTAAGCATTCTCTGACTAAAGATTTATTTTTCAGAAGTTTTATTTTGCAATATTTGACCGTGAACTTTTCCGTCTTTTCCTCTCAGGCTGTGATGGATTGTGTTGTGGCTCCGCCAACGGAAGGGGATCCATCCTATGCTTTATGGCGCAAGGAGAAGGATGCTGTGCTGGCATCATTGAACCAGAGAGCCAAGATGGTAGCTGACACTTTTAACAGTGTTCCTGGCATGTCTTGCAACACTGTCCAGGGTGCCATGTATGCTTTCCCACAGGTTGGTACCACCTTACGTGTCGCATAAGTTGCTCTCTTGCCTCTGGTATGATTCCTCCAAATTTTACATTGTGTGTCTTCTTTTCTAGATTAAGCTACCACCCAAAGCTATTGAGAAAGCTAAAGCCAAGGGCCAGGCTCCGGATGCTTACTATGCATTCCAGTTGTTGGAGAAAACTGGTATCTGTATTGTTCCTGGATCCGGCTTCGGTCAGAAGCCTGGCACATATCATTTCAGGTAATTTAAGTGTTTGAGCTTTAGGAGCTCATCCGTATCCTTGTTTTATTTTTGGCAAATCTATGATCTTATTGGACTGCAACTCTATTTTTGTCTTTTTTCCCTTTAGGACCACCATTCTTCCTATGCCAGATAAACTGAAGGAAATGCTGGAAAGTTTCAAGAAGTTCCATATTGAATTTGTGAAAGAAAATCAATAAGCTGTTAGGAATTTAATATGTCTGCTTTCAAACTGGTGCATGAAAGCACGTTAAAGTGCCTCCTTTAAAAATGCTTATGATAGTGTGATTGAATTCAGTACAAAAAAAAGTCATTATAGTACATTTTCCTCTTACCAAAACAAGGAATGACCTCTATTACAAGCTAGTGATATTTGTGTTTGTCTCTGTGTGCGACTTTGTTGGAGGCTACTTTTACCTTTTTAATCACTGAATGGGTACAGTATTATATCATTGGTTCCCAAAAGAAGCTGTATTTTTTAAAGTAGTTGTGTTGCCGATGCCTGAATGGCTTTTTCATTGTGATAATCTAAACTATGAAATTTTATCACTCTCTGGGAAACCCATGAAGATACTCACTTTAAGTTACATGACAATTGCTTCATTGACTCATTAAATGGTTTAGTATGTGATGCTGTAACATTTTTAAGTTCAACTGTGTTTTATTTTTTGTTTTCTTTTTGTAATACTTTAGGATGATAATCATTTATCTCATCTGTGTGATATTCAAAAGTCATTTTGTCCTACAATCCAATTATTTTTATTATTATAATGATTATGTTCGTGTAGATATTTCTTTTCCGTCATTTAGAATCTTAAGACTGGTACGCTTTGCATTGGGTAAAAAGTCTGCTCTAAGCAAAAACATTACTTTTTTGTTGTTCTCACTTCTGTCAGCCTCCAGTAGATCGTGTATCAGATAAAGCCTTCAGCTCACAGTCCACAAGGATGTTGCCATGTCATCACTCTTATAGTCAAATATTTCCTGGACTGGAATGAAAGTATTGAATCTTTATCTGGCCCAGATTAAAAGTATCTTACCTTTAGTGGGGCGATAAATTAAAGCAAAAACTGGAATGCATTTTTTGATTATTTTTGGTCAGTTCCAAAAGCTTATAGGAGGACTACACTTTTTCAGCTGGTATGGAAAAATTGGGTGGTTACATTATAGTGTATCATCAATGTACTGTAAGCTTATTTTTGTTTAGTGCGGACTTCTTTTGCTGTTTAGGTGTAAGTGTTGCCCTGTAACTGTTATGAAGTAAGATTCTGACAATATTATGCATCTTTGCTTTCAGTTATCTAGCTCCTTGTATAATCTCGTGTACAGAGTGAAATCATTGTGTTAAGTTGGTCTTATTATATATTTCAGCCATCATTCTACATTTATTTTTGAATCAGGTCCTGATTTGCCTTTCTATAAATAGCCTTTGTGGTGACATTTTTATCTTTATTCAAGTGTAGGATGTTCATAATTTAAAATAATAATAATGAACATTTATCAAGCATGGCATGGCCTCTTGAGTAGTCCTTGTTTCACTGTAACCTTTGTTTTTCTCCTGAGTTTTTTGAAGCAACGTGAGGCTCTATTTCATTTAAGTTTCTATGTGATGAGTTGTATATAATGTATAGTGCATTTTGTAGTTCACCATGTGATTGCTTATTTGAACAAAGAAATATGAGTATGATGTCGAGTGATATAAGTTTAATTTTGTTGTTAACACTTCACTCCTTTTGTTATTTCAGTTTTTGTTTTGGAAAGACCATTTAAAATTTGAGTTTCCTTAACTTTAGTTGAGATTGTTAACTATTTGTCGCAATGCCATATGGACTTAATACTATTAAAGATTTGGTCCTATTTTAATCATCAATTCCGTCTATTTTGATTTTGCAACCCAGCACTCATGTGAGTTTGAGATGGGGGAGTGGAGTCTAAAATGTTTTTCTAGCTTTTGAGTAGTATCTTGCTAAACAATACAATGCTTCACGAAATGAGTGCTCATAACTGTGTGCAGATAACAGGCTTTTGCTTGTTTTTACATCAGTGATTGCTGTCAATTCTTGACCTTTTATGTCAACTAAAAACTTGGTCGACAAATTCCTCTCGCATCTGTCCAATCCACAAAGTTGTGGCAGGCGAACCCTCCCATTCAAGCCTTCCCGGGTGGGGTACTCAAGGAATCTGCCTGGCGATCGAAAATTTGGTCTCGTGACGAGTCTCGTGACCAGTCCCGACCAATCAGAGACCTCCATTTCTCCCCAAAGTGCCCTTTTTGCTGTTTTCGCTGATTTTTCGGCCGCCAGCCAGTCATCCTCCCAGCCGCGCCGACGGCGGGAACTCTTTTGCATCTTAGAGGGGTGTGTAAAGCTAGACCTAGAGTCCTAGGCCCAGACCTAGACCGCGCCACCAAGGTAGGCCACCCATTTGACACGCTGAGGTGGGTGGGGGCCGACGCCAGGCACTCTTCTGCGCACCTTTAGAGAAAGGAATAGAAATGGACGAGTGTTTGCTCCGCGTCTATTATAGCCAGGATTGTCTGGAAATGCTCTGCAAACTCAAGTGTTGACATAGTACACTCCACCTGGAGTCAACCTAGCATCAGGGGCGGACTGGCGGTGCTAGGGCCCCTCCGGGAATGAGTCTGAAGGGCCCCACTATCACCGTATCATAAACGAAACTTTCTAATTCAGGAAAGTGCCTGTTTTCTCTTTAAATGTAATTTTATTTCGAGTTTTGATTTGACAGAATTGTGTAGGTAAAACGTCAAGGGGAGATGTGAGATGCAAGAAATTTCTAGAAGGTAATGGAAAAACCTCGAAGTGCGAGCGAAGCGAGCTTCGCGCCCACGACGTTTCGGCTTGTCCCACGGATTCTACTAAAAACGAATGTAACTGTTCAAAAGTCAATTAACCAGCAATAATGGTGCTGACGAAGCTAGGGCATTTGAGCTGTCCTCGGCGGGTCCTTCCAAAGTGTACGAAATGATCATTTGTGCGAGCGAAGCGAGCTAGGAGCCAGGGCTTTTCATCGCTTTAAGCCTGTTCAAATGACTGATTTGGCAGTTTTGTGGCGCTCTGACTTTAGTCCTTGGCACCTGGGGCCGCAGACATGGTCTTTGGGGGCCCCGGCCGGGCTAGGGCCCACCCGGGAATCCCCGGGCGCCCGGGCGGGCCAGTCCGCCCCTGCCTAGCATGTACACTCTACCTGGAGTCAATCTGGCGTGTACACTCCACCTGGAGTCAACCTAGCATGTACACTCCACCTGGCGCCAACCCCGCATGTACACTCTACATGGCGTCAACCCACCTGGCATGTACACTGTTGCTGAAGTCCCCTACCATTGGCACGTAAAGCAGAGCAACAATGTACTTGCAGGCACATTGGAGGTAAACGCCACCTGGCGTGTACTTGGCAAGCATGCTCCAGCCTGGAGTGTACATGCAAGGTTGACTCCAGGTGGAGTGTGCATGCAAGGTTGACTCCAGGTGGAGTGTACATGCAAGGTTGACTCCAGGTGAAGTGTCAACACTTGAGTGTGTAGAGTGGTTGCCCTTTTACAGAGTCGCGCCGTCAAGGTAGGCCAACCATTTGACACGCTGTTACAAAAGCAGCGTGGCGGCAGAAAAATTCAAGCCACACCGAACCGAGATTTGAACCCGAGAACCTCTGACCACGGCTGACGCTTCAACCCACTGAGCCCACCGAGGCGACCATAAAAAGACGGGAGTCCCCTAGATAGGGCCCTCAAAGAGACATCGTGTCTCTCTAAAACTGAAGACGACGAGTCTCTCTGAAACTCAGAACACCGAGCGACACGGACTCTCTCTAGCACTGACACAGTGAGTCTCTGACACCGAGTCTCCAGGCGCGGATACAGGGGGGGGGGGGGGGGGGGGGGGGTTGCCCCCCTGCCCCTAGATAGCCGCCTGAAAGATAGGCAAAAAGTGCGACTTTGCCCCCCCCCTCCCCCCCATAGGCCGCCTCTGGATCCGCCACGGCGAGTCTCTCTAAACCTCAAGACACCGAGTCTCTCTAAACCTCAAGACACCGAGTCTCTCTCGGTCTCTCTAGAACTGAGGACGCCAAGGCTCTCTAGCACTGGAAACACCGAGTCTCTCCAGAAGAGACACAATTGGTCTCAGCGCTGCGCGGGGCGCATCATCAATATTCCTTGGCGGCCTTGGCGACGGGTGGCGAATCCTCCGCATCCGCGGGCAGAGCCGCTACCCGTTCGGCCTGCTCCGGCTGCCCTGGCGCCGTGCTGTGCCGTGCCTTGCTGTGCCGTGCCCTGCCGTGCTGTGCTGTGCCGTGCCCTGCCGTGCTGTGCGTGCCGTGCCTTGCTGTGCCGTGCCCTGCCGTGCTGTGCTGTGCCGTGCCCTGCCGTGCTGTGCCGTGCCTTGCTGTGCCGTGCCCTGCCGTGCTGTGCTGTGCTGTGCCGTGCCCTGCCGTGCTGTGCTGTGCTGTGCCGTGCCCTGCCGTGCTGTGCTGTGCTGTGCCGTGCCCTGCCGTGCTGTGCTGTGCTGTGCCGTGCCCTGCCGTGCTGTGCTGTGCCGTGCCGTGCCATGCCAGGTCAGGTCGCGCCAAAACGTCAAAACGGCCGCCTCTCTTTTTACTCCACTCCAGTTGAAACGACCGCCTCTTTTTTCCATCGAGATATCGGGAGTATGTCCTCGCCTTGGCGGATCGTGTCGCCGGGCGAAATGCGGAATCAGGCGCGGATACTACAGAGGGGGAAGGGGGGGGGATGCAAGTGATATCCCCCTTGATCACTATATGGCCGTCTAAAAGGTACGCAAGGTGTTGCACTTCACCCCGAAAGTACACTGTCAAACCATGTATGTGGAGAACTCCATACTTCCTGGTGCGGAGTGACTCTCCCTCCATACTTCAAGTGTGGAGTTTGCGGTCTCCATACTTCAAGTGTGGAGAAGCTAACACAGCCCCTTTCCCTTGGCATGCTGCAAACGTGGAGAAGTCATACACTTGAAGTGTGGAGACTGCAAACTCTGCACTTCCGAAGTGCGGGTGACTCCAAATCCCACACCACCGCATTTCAGGTGTGGAGTTCTCCGCTCTTGGTTTCACAGTCAGAAAGTGCCACTCCCCCTTTCACGCTGTCTCTGGATCCGCCACTGTGCGGAATGCGAAATGCGGGAGATGTCGCTCGCGTGGCGCCTCTTCCTTTTTGCGGTGCCGCAGACCGATTCCGAGAGTCGCTTTCGTCACTCTGTCTCTCTCGCACTCATGGGGCGTCCCGACTGGGTGCGAGAGGGACAGAGCGACGAAAGCGACTCTCGGAATCGGTCCACTGTGCTCGAGAAGAAGACCGCGGAGACGAGACGAGGACACCGGCCGGTATAAATGGCAGTGTTCGCGGCCAGGGCGGCACTTCCAAGTCAACTGGCGGTCCAGATCCACCGAACCACCTCCCGGCCAACACCATGAAGCTCCTGGTAAGCCTGGACGCCAGGGCAGCACGGGGACCTCTTGATGCTGCACACTAAATGTCATGGGACTTTTTTTGTCCCACGGTTTATGCAATTTTAAGCACATCCGACGCTGATACAATTTTGTTCCCGTCTGGTGACACATTTTGTCCGGCGCCAGCTGCAACTTGTACTTTCACTAGACAATTTGTCCCGCCTGGCGGACACAAAATTGCATCACCACCGGATGTGCTTAAAATTGCATCGTTCGTGGGACAAAAAAAGTCCCATGACATTTAGTGCATGCACCACGAACTCTGTCTTCCATGACTCCGCCCACCCCCTCCACCCCGTTATAGATATCAAATAGACCCTTTTTCACTCTCCGCTGAGGGCAGAACGAAAAGTAATTGAAACATTTGGGGGCCAATAGGGAGTCAACTAGAGGCCGGTACGTACGTGAACTGTCAAAAGCTGAACCCTGATTGGTCAGAAGCGTTGGTGTGGCGTAGCGCGTTGCTGCTTCCTGCTTCTCAATTTCATTTGTTGTTCTTCACTCGTCGCCGAGTGGAAGGATCTACACTGTTCAACCACACTGAAAAACGAAACGTAGTCTAGACCACACCAGTGGTGCCGTCTAGACCACGTTTGGTTTTTCAGTGCACTCTTCTGGGAGTGGAGTTATTCTCCAGTCTGCGGAGTTTGCTGGCTGTACACTCCGTAAGTGTGGAGTACCTCGTGGCAGAGCATCTGTCTCTTGGTGCAAACGTGCAGAACTCCAAACCTGAAGTGTGGAGACTGCAAACTCTGCACTGACAATTCTGAAAGACTGAAAATTCCACACTGTGGACGTGCCCGTCTTGCACACCGCCGGGTCGGGGGCCTGTAGCGCTGCGTAGCGCCTGCGAGGTAGGCCACCAATTCGACCCGCAACGTACGGTTGTGGACGGCCCTGGCCGGTTCGCCGCGCTCGGGTGCGCGATCGTGAACCTGCAGACTGATTCCGAGAGTCACCTTCGTCACTCTGTCTCTCTCGCATTCATGGGGCGTCCCATGAAGGAGTGAGAGAAAGAAAGCGACGAAGACGACGACCGTGCCGCCCCGTCGGCGTCCTGACCGCCTGCTTACAGTGGTGTTGCCTGTTGCAGATCCTCGCCGCCCTCGTGGCCGTGGCCGTGGCCGACTACCACGACGACACCTTCCACTTCTCCACCCTGGGCAGCAGCCCCTCCCTGACCGGCCTGACCGCCTACAGGACCTCCGGCCTCGAGAGCGCCGGCTTCGCCCGCCAGGCCAAGCAGTACACCGTGCAGGCCGCCAGCCCCGCCGTGTACTCGTCCTTCTCCGCCAAGCCCGCCTACACCCAGTACTCCACCCAGCAGCTGCTGCAGCCCGCCTACACCAAGAAGTACACCGTGCAGCAGGTCGCCCAGCCCGCCTACACCGAGAAGTACACCGTCCAGCAGGTCGCTCAGCCCGCCTACGTCGAGAAGTACTCCGTGCAGCCCGCCTACGCCAAGCAGTACTCCACCCAGCAGTTCGTGCAGCCCGCGTACACCCAGGAGTACTCCGCCGTGAAGCAGTACGCCGCCAAGCCCCTGGTGCAGCAGTACTCCGCCCTGTCCGGCGCCTCCGCCTACGCCGCCAACGCCCCCCAGTTCCGCATCCTGTCCCAGGTCCAGGAGGCTGACCCCGCCGGCCCCTACAAGCTGAGCTACTCCACCGAGAACGGCATCCAGGTCAGCGAGCAGGGCGCTCTCGCCAACGGCGCCGAGGGCCCCGCCGTGGCTACCCAGGGCTCCTACTCCTACACCGGCCCCGACGGCCAGGTGTACACCGTCAACTGGATCGCCGACGAGAACGGCTACCGCGCCTCCGGCGACCACCTGCCCGTCCCTCCCCCCGTCCCCGCCGAGATCCTCAAGTCCCTCGAGGAGATCGCCCGCAGCGGCAGCCGCTTCGACGAGCAGGGCAGGCCCTTCCGCAAGTAAGCCGGGACCGCGGCCAACAAGCAGGCCAAGGCGAGGTCCAGCGAGGTGCAGGGATGACATTTGACGCGAAAATGACATTCTCTGACATTAGTTTGACTTCGTTTTGACAACGTTTTTGACTTGATGTTCTCCATGGGAACAACCTCGCAAGAAATCCATAAGGACGACATTCGCCCGCGCATGAAAATTTTTCTCCGAATCGGAGAGTTTCCGACTAGAATAAAAAACGCGATACATCCCAAAGGTTTGAGCATATTTATTTACTCACTACCGCACTCCCAATTACAACATTTTGAGTTAGAGAAACATGGGCCGGTGAATAAAACTGACCTGCAGCCACACGGTGAGAAAATCCGACAATAAAGATGCACTTTTGCAAGCAATGCTGTCTACTTAGGCATTATGTTGGTTAGGTAGTCGAAAAGTTTCCCTCTAATTTGTGGAAAAAAGGTATGGAAAATTCTGTAAACAGATTGTGGTAATTCTCCGTAGCCCCCTTGTCTACGTAGGACCGTACCATCTTCCCCGTAGGACCTTACAGTCTTCTCCGTAGGACTGTACAGTGTTCCAGGTCTACGGAGTTAGATGTTACGGCTACGGAGATATGTAGGTCCTACGGAGAATATTGTTGTAAGAGGGCTACGGGAATCTTGGCAAAAAATATACAGAATTTTGCATACCATTTTGATCACAGTGTAGACAGACTGAGGTCGGCAACCCATAGACACAGCTCTCTAGGGGCTGGTGTGGCCCTGGTCCGATCCACTGGTGGCCATGGTGGCCCTGGCTGGCCATGTGACCTGGCTAAAGGCCTGTGGACTGGTGACCCTGGTGGCCCTGGTGAAACTGGTGGCCAATCTGGTGCCCTGGTGGCCCTGGTGACTTGGTGGCCACGGCAACACTGGTGGTCATGGCGCTTTTCCACAAACGAACAGGAGCTCGCCGACGAGGAAGGCGGTGCCACCAGGAGGCCGGCCCAGGAGCAGAAGCACCCCCGAGCGTGGCGACGTCCAGAGGCCACTTTTGCTGATGCTCGTGCTGCCGCGCACACTCCAGTTTTTGTGCTCCTGAAAGGTCTTATGTTCAGAAAATACTCGAAATCTGATGTTTTTTTTGTCAAGTTATCAGAAAATGCCCCGTTTATCAGAAAATTTCTGAGTTGATTTACACCAGTGCCGTAGGACCTTACAGTCTTCTCCGTAGGACTGTACAGTGTTCCAGGTCCTACGGAGAAGACTGTACGGTCGTACGGAGAATACTGTAAGGTCCTACGGAGAATATTGGTAAGAGGGCTACGGGGAATCTTGGCAAAAAATAACAGAATTTTGCATACCATTTTGTCACAGTGTAGACAGACTGAGGTCGGCAACACCATTTAGACACAGCTCTCTGAGGGCGCTGGTGTGGCCCTGGTGACCCTGGTGGCCCTGGTGGCCCTGGTGGCCCTGGTGACCCTGGTGGCCCTGGTGGCCCTGGTGGCCCTGGTGGCCCTGGTGACCCTGGTGGCCCTGGTGGCCCTGGTGGCCCTGGTGGCTCTGGTGGCCACGGCAGCACTGGTGGTCATGGCGCTTTTCCACCAAACGAACAGGAGCTCGCCGACGAGGAAGGCGGTGGCCACCAGGAGGCCGGCGCCCAGGAGCAGAAAGCACCCCCGGAGCGTGGCGACGTCCAGTGGCGCCACCTTGCGGCGCTCGTGCTGCGCGCGCACCCTCTCCAGTGCGTGCTCCCAAAGGTCGCTTCTGTTCTGGAAGCGGTAGATGACCTTAGGCCCCAGGCCGGCCGCCTTGAAGCGACTCAAGGTCACGCGGAAGGCCCTGGCCGCCGGCGAGCCCTTCAAGCCCAGCGTGGTGGTGGTGAGGAAGGACCAGGGCGCGGTGAACGCATGCACTCCCTCCAACGACCTGACGTGCGGCACCAGCGACCAGGGCGAGGACCGCGGCAGCAACACGGCGGCGGTTCGATTGGCCACGCCGTTCAAGCCCTCCGACATCGGGTTCGGTAAGTCTTTGAACTTGACGCCTTTTTCGCTAAAGTGGGTGAGGGTGTTCAGGTGGATTCCGCGATGGTTGTACAGAGTGAGGTTGGACTCGGTCAGTTCGTCTAGCGTCTGGATTTCCCTGGAGGGGCACTGCTCGAAGAGCTCGGACAGCAGCTTGCCGGTGTACGACGAGGACAGCACGACGCAGCAGAGCAGCCAGGCTGCCAAGAGAGGCCGCGCGCCCTGCCCAACCGGCGACCCAGACTGCGCCACGAGAGGGGCCAGGGCGTCCAGGAGGGCCGTGCCGCGCCCGCCCAGCAGCCACAGCCCGACGGCCACCCCGACGAACGACAAGCCCGTGGCGACCCACACCGCCGCGGTCAACTCCCTGGTGACGGCGTCCGCGAGGCAGCTGCCCTTGCCCATGCCGGCGGGGACCAGGGCCACCACACTGTCCATCCCCCATGGGAACGCGTCCGACGGCAAGGAGACTCGAACCCGCGTTGGATGATCCAGGTTTATCAAATCGAAGCGACAGATCTTCGCCACGTCGTCGTTCCTTTCACCATCTTCGTTCGGCACCAAGCTGATGTTGCCCTGCTGCCGGACGACGGCCATCATGAACTGGTTGGACAGGGAGAGGTACACGTTGGCCTTGGCGGGGGCGTACAGCATGGTGCCAGTCGTGGCGTTGCCGGTGTAGTAGCACGGCGGGTAGAACTGGGTGGCGCCGGGGACCCAAGTGGACACTGCGAGAAAAGATCACGGCAAATCCTGTACTCATTACTCCAGACTTCACCGTACTTTTTTTAACAGGCAATACCGTCATTTTTTTACAGGCAATACCGTACTTATTTTTACAGGCAACACCGTACTTTTTTTACAGGGAATCCCGTACTTTTAATACCTATCAAAAACTGCTATAATTTTTTTCAGTCGGTTGACCCTCTTTTTCCAAGATCCTTATGTACGTAAACTGCTGAAGTCAAACTCCTGGACCCCCCTTCCGACCACTCGTTGTAAAGGTCTTATCGAGACCTATCGAAAGGTGCAATAAAATTTTTCAGTCGGTCGACCCCCTTTTTTCAAGATCCTGATGTGGACAATTCTTCGAAGCGGCCTTTGTTGGGACCAGATCTGGTCCTTCCTACGGCATGGACTGTACGGAAGAACGATAACTACTGTTAAAAGACTACGGAATATTTTGTAAACCAAGTACGGTAAATACTGTAGACTGTACGGTGGATACTGGTGTTTGAAGTACAGTAAAGTTTGGCAAAAAAATTATCCAGGATTCACCGTCGTTTTTTCTTAGAGTGGAGTCGGAGGACAATGAGTACAACGTGGAGCCGTGCCGGGCGTCGCTGACGACGAGCATGACGCGGAAGAAGTAGTCCCCGGTCGCGATGCCGCGGAGGCTCTTCAGCCTCCAGGAGGTCGTGTAGGCCGTCCAGAGGAGCGTCCGGCTGGCCACGTCGCGGTGCACGGCCGCCAGGCGCGCGACCAGGGCGGCCGCCTCGTCCTCGGCGACCACGAGGACGACGCTGGGCGTGGCGAGGAGCAGCCGCGTGCTGGGGGACGGCCACGGCCCGGTCGGCGTGGGCAGCAGCGACACGGCCGCCGCGGCCTGCATGGCCAGGAAGGCGTCGAGCCACCGCGGCGTCCCCAGCACCACCAGGTGGGGCGCGAACGGCCCGGCGCGCAGCAGGGCCGGCTGCAGCAGGCCGTGGATGAACCTCGCCTCGTCGGCCACGGTGGGGGCCTTCTTGTTGGCCGGGAAGGCCTTCCAGGGCGAAGGCAGCGCCCCGGTGCTGCACAAGCACACCACGGCGACCACGAGCACGGCCCGCGGGACCGAAGGCGAAGGCGCCATGGCGAGCTGGCTGGCCGTTCTGGAGTGTTCGGTTCGCCGAGCGCCTTCGCCCTCGCCACGTGCCACCCCGCCTTCAGGGTTGCAGACTTGTTCCGAGAGTCGTTTGCGTCGCTCTGCCTCCCTCGCACTCATGGAGCGCTCGGTATAGGTGCGAGGGGGACAGAGCGACAACCCTTTGCTACTCCGCCTCTTATTCGTCCGGCTGGTGACAGCTGACGGAGACCCTTCGAACCCTGCCTGTCTCGAAGAAGGGGCGAGCATAAAAGATCCGCGGACTCGCAATGGAATACTCGTGAATAGCGACGCGACTGGTACGTTCGAAGATGTCTGACCCCCTTGTATCTCGGGAAGTACATGCCGTATGATTGCGGCATTGGCTTCCTCATGACCCAGAGATCCGAGAGGCACCTTGCAAAAGTCTTCGTTCGTCGTCACGGGTTTTAGGGTGTTTTAGCAATTCTTCGTGAGGCCTTCGTGCTTCGACGACAAACCCTGCAACTTTCCCCGACGTAATTACGAAGAATTTCCGTCAAAGTGCATGACGACGATGACGCGTTGGTGGCGCTTGGCTTGCCCTTGGGGCTTTAATCTTCTAATGTACCAGTCGCAGTCGCTATTCCATTGCGAGTCCACGGCTCTTTCATGCGTGCCACTTCTTCGAGACAGCCAGAGTTCAAGAGGTCGTCGTCACCTGTCACCGGCTAGAGGAAAAAGAGGCCGGACAGTCGACTGATTCCGAGAGTGGTCGCGCTGTCCCCCTCGCGCCTCCACCAAACGTTCCATGAGCGCGAGGGCGAGGGGGCAGAGCAACGGAAACGACTCCCGGAATCTGTCTGCAGCCCTGACGGCAGGGCGACTCGTTGCCAAGGCGCTCGGCGATCCAAACACTCCAGAACGGCCAGCCAGCTCGCCATGGCGCCTTCGCCTTCGGTCCCGCGGGCCGTGCTCGTGGTCGCCGTGGTGTGCTTGTGCAGCACCGGGGCGCTGCCTTCGCCCTGGAAGGCCTTCCCGGCCAACAAGAAGGCCCCCACCGTGGCCGACGAGGCGAGGTTCATCCACGGCCTGCTGCAGCCGGCCCTGCTGCGCGCCGGGCCGTTCGCGCCCCACCTGGTGGTGCTGGGGACGCCGCGGTGGCTCGACGCCTTCCTGGCCATGCAGGCCGCGGCGGCCGTGTCGCTGCTGCCCACGCCGACCGGGCCGTGGCCGTCCCCCAGCACGCGGCTGCTCCTCGCCACGCCCAGCGTCGTCCTCGTGGTCGCCGAGGACGAGGCGGCCGCCCTGGTCGCGCGCCTGGCGGCCGTGCACCGCGACGTGGCCAGCCGGACGCTCCTCTGGACGGCCTACACGACCTCCTGGAGGCTGAAGAGCCTCCGCGGCATCGCGACCGGGGACTACTTCTTCCGCGTCATGCTCGTCGTCAGCGACGCCCGGCACGGCTCCACGTTGTACTCATTGTCCTCCGACTCCGCTTGGGTCCCCGGGGCCACCCAGTTCTACCCGCCGTGCTACTACACCGGCAACGCCACGACGGGCACCATGCTGTACATCCCCGCCAAGGCCAACATGCACCACTTCCTGTTCAACCAGTTCGTGATGGCCATCCTCCAGCGGCAGGGCAACATCAGCTTGGTGCGGAACGAAGATGGCGTGTGGGATGCCGTCGCCAGGATCTGCCGGTTCGATCTGTTGACCTTGGATTACCCGCTGCGAATTGAGAGCACCACTCTGTCGGACGCGTTCCCGTGGGGGTTGGACAGTGTGGTGGCCCTGGTCCCCGCCGGCATGGGCAAGGGCAGCTGCCTCGTGGATGCCGTCACCAGGGAGTTGACCGCGGCGGTGTGGGTCGCCACGGGCTTGTCGTTCGTCGGGGTGGCCGTCGGGCTGTGGCTGCTGGGCGGGCGCGGCACGGCCTTCCTGGACGCCCTGGCCCCTCTCGTGGCGCAGTCTGGGTCGCCAGTCACCCGGCGGCCCCTGTTGGCTGCCTGGCTGCTCTGCTGCGTCGTCCTGTCCTCGTCGTACACCGGCAAGCTGCTGTCCGAGCTCTTCGAGCAGTGCCCCTCCCGGGACATCCAAACGATGACGGAACTGGCCGAGTCCAATCTCACTCTCCACATTCAGACTGGAATGATCTTGCGCAGGCACTCGTACTTTTTGGGCAAACGCATCAAGTTCCAGGACATCCGGGGCTCGGTGACGGAGAGCTTGCACGGCGTGCTGAACCGAACCGCCGCCGTGTTGCTGTCGCGGTCCTCACTCTGGTCGCTGGTGCCGCACGTCAAGGAGCTGGCCGGCGTGCACACGTTCACCGCGCCCTGGTCCTTCATCACCAGCTCCCTGGTGGGCAAGAAGGGCTCGCCGGCGGCCAGGGCCTTCCGCGTGACCTTGAGTCGCTTCAGGGCGGCCGGCCTGGGGCCCATGGTCATCTACCGCTTCCAGAACAGGAGCGACACTTGGGAGCACGCCCTGGAGAGGGTGCGCGCGCAGCAAGAGCGTCGCAAGGTGGTGCCGCTCGACCTCGCCACGCTCCGGGGGTGTTTCATACTTCTGGGCACCGGCCTCCTGGTGGCCACCGCCGCCTTCGTCGGCGAGCTCCTGTTCCTCTGGTGGGAAAGCACCATGACCGACCACCCACCGTAGTGAGCAGGCCCTTCATGGCAACCATGGCCGCCAGGTCCACCATGACCCACAGTGTCTACCATGGGCAAGGGCTACCATTGCCCCCAGGCCCACTAGGTCCACCAGGGCCACTATCAGTCACCATGGTCACCTGGTCGACCACGGCAACCATGAACCGGCAAAGAAGCGTGCGACTGACTAGCTGATTAACCACAGCAAAAACGGAACGACCAATTTTTTTTCGGATCTTCCTCGTTTATGGCTCAATTCGCTGTTTCAATAACTACAAATCAAAATTGAAATGTCAGATTTTACTTTTGCTGAACCATGTGCCTCGTAAACGCGAAAAACCCGCAGTGTGCGGGTGGGGTTTAGAGTCACTCCGTGGCCGGCATACACGTCAGGGACGAGCCCAGCCTCGGCAACGTCCCGCAGGGACGCGTGCGTTCCTTCCCCCCACCTGCGCCGAGGTCTTCAAGTTCCCTTGAGGAGATCTCTCGCAGCGGCTGCCGGTTCGACGAGCAGGAGCAGAGCACACGCTTCAAACCTTTACGAAGTATTTTGGGCATACATAGTACACACTAATTTACTGTGTTATACGAAGAAATAGTTCGTAACCCAGTCCCAAAAAACCATGGATTGCATGGGATCCCATGACACAAATCCCATGACAGCCCACTGAAATCCCATGAGACTGCGGTTCAGCACCATGGACAAGCGGCATGCCATGCAAAATGGAGGTCGTTTCCCATGGTGCAGGCCTAGCACCATGGGAGGACCTCCCCCATGATGTGAACTTTTCCATGGGTTCAGACTTCCCATGGGAAGGCAGTCCTGCTCGTGCGTTGAAAGTCTCCGACTAATTTTCAATTATAGGTCATATCATGTCAACGGTGCCCTCCAGACAAAATATGATTGCAAAATCGGATGTAGCGTCAAAAGTTTAGGGGGTGACAGTTCTCCTGTGAAATGATTAAATCCAGATCAGGCACTGATCTCATCATTTTGTACTCACAAGGGACTCTGCCAAGGCAAGGAAGTGCTTCCCATGACTCACACTCCATGGAATTTTTCCCCATGAGTCGCAAGACACCATGAGAAGTTGTTCCAAAAATCACGGGGAATCGTTCCCATAGAAAGAATGTGCCCATGGCGTCCCATGCACCGCCATGGCTCATGGGATGCCCCATGGTTTTTTTGGACTGGGAAATTACGAATTATTTTCTTTGTAAGCTTATGTATGTACAAAATACTTTGTTATAACAAAGCTGCTTTTCTTTGTTGGGTCTTAAATAGTTTGTAAGGTTTTCTCAGTGCAGGCCCTTCCGCAAAAAAGCCGACCACGTGACCCAGGCGCGTCAGCACGTCAAAAAAGCGGAGGAGGGGGGCTGTTTTGGAGGTTGTCTACCTCGCAGGGGATTTTTTAAATTTTGTTTAAACCTTGAAAATTTGTTGATAAAGGACAAAAAGAAGGACAGCAAGTTATTTTTTAGGCATGAAGTGCCTTATAGTTTCCCCAGGATTCAGCCGGCGCGAGATTCCATTCGTGTGGCCCTTTATGCATTTTGAAAATTTTCTATAGGATTTTACTGAGATTTTACAGACTAGTAGAACTTTGAACGCTGATTCTAATGTTGAAATGTGGTTAAAAAGTTAACGGTCAGTTTTGAGAAATTTGCTGTCAAAATCGCTGTTTCCATGGCAAAACTCGGCTCGTCAAAGAAAAAGGAAAGGGAGTGGAGGGAGCTGAGCCGGAGTGGACCAATCGCCGAGCTTCTTTTCGCTTCTGTACAGCTTACTTCATACGCTGCAAAAGCACGTTCGAATCAAAAAAATCTCTTCGACCTTCGACTGCAACTAGAGAAGATGCAACAATAGAATTTATGTCGTTTTCGAACGCAGTTTTTTGGGTAGAGCTATCGAACAATTCTTCTTGATCGGAGTGTTTTTGGACATGCGTAATAGGTAACCAACTGTAGCATTGGAAATCTCTATTCATTTTGCTGTCTTTCTTGTTTTATATTTGTTAGCTGTCCATAAAAATTCATGTAAAACAAATTTTCTATTTATATCTGATTAATTTTTGAAAAAATATATACAGAAAAGAAATAAAAGAAAAGTTCGTTTTTCTTGACACAAAGTTTTCCAAATATTACTTTTTTTTCTGACAATAAAACAATTTTGTTTTTGTTGAAGAATCATTCCTGATGATTCAGTTAGCACCATGACCACTTCGCTCGACCTCGCGACTTTCAGTGCTCATGTTCCTCGAACAAGACTCACCCGCGTTTCGAAACCATCCCTCCCGAGTTTATAAAGTTTGTCAAACCAACCGTCGTGATGCTGTTGCGTTGTGAGTGAGAACTTTTTCACAGAATTGAAGAAATCATGACTAGAGAACCATAGCCTTTTGAAACATGCCAAACAATTCAACGTCAGCAACAATGGAGGGGCAGTTTTAATGCGCGACTAATCCAACAATGGAGGGGCAGTTTTAATGAGCGACTACTCGTGTTTTCGGCTTCGCTATTTTCGCAAGGGCGCAGGACGCCGAGGAGATTGTTGCCAACCAAGAGACTAGTCTGTGCCAACCCACCTTCTTTGCCCCACGAACTAATAATGATTGACTTCAAAGATGTTCCACTGTGGAATACATTAGCATTGAAATTTTTCGAATTTCCCGGCATTTTGATTTCTTTTTGTTGCCAAGTTTAAATTTTGACGGGTGGCACATCGACCACATTGGTACCACTGCCATTCGTAGCCGAACCACCCCATTTCCCTTTTACACATTATTGTTTCTTTCTCCACACGATAACCAAATTGACTTTGTGACTCCAAGGATTTCTTAAAATCGTATTTTTTTAAAAATTATAATATAATACGAAAAGCAATTTTTCACAGGTGAATAAAACAGTAAAGCAGTTTAAAAAAACATACACATTTCAAAAAATTCCTTTAACTATGATCTTAAGATAACAAGGTAGGTTTACGCCAGACCGCGCGTCTTCGTAACAGGCTTCTAAATTGTTGACGTTTTGCTTCCCTCTACACTCACCACTTGCAGTTCGTTTTAATTATTAAAACAACAAGCCATATGACCTTCCCGAAGAATAGGCTTGACAGTGTCAGACTCCTCGCTTTAAATGGCAGCAATTTTACTCCTATAATACCTGGAGCTTCTTCAAGAAGTTTCAGTTGCGCATACAATGTGTAGGTGAGGGTGAGGCAAGTGTATTCCCTGCCGCGCGACGCGTTGCGTTTGCCGCTACGCTTCGGACATTTGATTTATCTGGAAGGTCCGTCAGATTTGAGGGGGTAGTGACCCGGCAGCTCGAAGAATAGGGGGTCAGCTGCCCCTCTGACCAAGTGCTTCCAACGCGCCTGCGTGAGCACGGTGGTCAGCGGCGAACGACCGCAAACGACTCGAAGGACGACATTCGTCCGTACTTCAAACTCTTCTAAGGAAAGTCTACGATTGAAATAAAATGAGTGAAACTCTCAACTGAGCAGCTTTATTTACCCACTCACAAAGTTTACTCGATTGAGATGATGGTTCTCTTCGCAAAATGATCGTCCCATGAACCGGCCACTATGCAGGTCCCCGCAAAATTAGTTTCTTTGGTAATCAGTAATCAGCACTACTTGGCTGTCTCGGCACCGTCACTGAGTCTTCGGCTTGTGCCTCGGAGGCGGAGAGGCGGTGAGCTTGCTGGTGGCGGTGACGACGGCCAGGAGCACGGCGGCCAGGGCGGCCAGGACGACGGCGGCCACGTCCAGCAGCAGGTACTGGTGCAGCGGCAGGTCGGCGCCGAGCGGCCGGCAGGTGGCGCGCGCCGCGGTGCCGCACCACGTACTCCGTCCACCACACCGCCTCCCTCGCCGCGCGCCGAGGCCGGTCCGTGAACCGCGCCGCCACTTTCTTGGCGCGCCGCTGGAACCTGGGGGTGCCAAAGTGTGTCAACGCGGTCAACGCGGTCAGGCGCGCGTGGGTGGCATCTCTGCCCGACCGGTGTATCGACGAGAACCACGGCGGGTGTCGCCCTGCTCCATTCGCACACTGTTCACACGCGTGGGGTATAGCTGTGCACTACTCGTGTTAATTTAGTCAGAATGTCAGAAACGTGTCTGAAATCCAGATCAAAATTCACGCACTTCCGAAAGCTCAGATTCTGAAAACTTGTTATGATATTGATGATGGCCTGATTTTTTCAGATTGTCAGAAAAAGTTCTCAGATTTCAGAGGTGCGTGAATTTGGATCAGGATTTGAAACAGATTCCTGACATTCTGACAAAATCTACATGTGTGATATTGTCCAAATCCAGCACCCTAGCCTACGGGTTGCAACAGTCTAACGGCCTAGCCTCCTACGTATTCGTGAAGGGTCTCTCGAGGGAACTCGCAGATGATCAGCAATTGTCTATGTCTGTTTGGTTTTGGTCGGGCTCGGTCGGGTGAGTGCTGACTGAGGCTCCACAGTTAAACCAAGTGTGGAAAACTCTACCTTGAGGAGTAAGTTTGCAGCTCACAGAGGCTTTCTCTTGGCATGGCGCAATTATGGCGAACTCTACACTTTAAGTGTGGAGTCTGCAAATGCCGCCCCCCCTCCCCGCCCCGTTCGGAGTTGTCCACTCTTCGTTTGACAGTGTTCTCCCGAGCCCGGCCTGTGCCAATGGCAGGTGACAGATTGCATCACTTCAGCACTGTCGGGTGGCGCCTGATTGGCAGGCAACCTATCTGCCAGTAGTGCTAGCTGGCTGGCGTAAGCGCGTTTGAAGCCGGCTGAGGTGGTCAATGTTCAAACTGCAAACTCACGTCGAAGTGTGGGGAGTTACTCCCCACCAGGAGGTGAGTATTTCTCCACACAATAGGACAAACTTGGTGCTGTGCCGGCTTTCCAAGTGACTCGACTGACTGTGAGACGGTACTATACTTGTCGGAGGTGGTGAACTCTCGCAGGGTGGCCAGGACACTGTCTTTGGTCATGGTCCTGTAGTCCAGCTGCCGCGCGATGCCTATCTCCTGGTACAGCAGGATGTTGGGGCCCTGGTCCATGAACACAGGGATGCCCACCATGGGCACGCCCAGCGACAGCGCCTCCGTGGTGCCCATGAGCCCGCCGTGGGTCATGAAGACAACCACCTTCGGGTGGGCTGCGAGACAAAGAGGAAGCACCTTTTTAAACCTTTCAAACTATTTTGGGGCCTCACTGGGAAACCAAGAACTCCACTCTTGAAAAGTGGAATTTGCGGTCTCCGCTGCTCTGATGCTCTAGCGCACTATCCCAATATCCTACTGAGCTTTTTCATCGTAATACGAACAAAAAGCTTAGTATTATGACTGCGCAGCGAAGGTAGTAACCTATGTTGAGGCTCAGTAAGTTACGACCAGATTATATTACGACCAGTTTATATTACGAACAAATTTCTCTGTATTATGACAGACTTGTGTCGTAAAGTACTGAGAATTAGCTCAGTATTATGACTGCATGGCATTTCTCAGTTGGGAGTGTGTAGCAGAGCATCTCCTTTGGTATTGATAAAGACATTCTCAGGGTACGCTGCCTCACCCAGCACGTCTCGCTGCGGCAGCCACGGGACGACCTTGACGTTGGCCGGCGGCTGCAGTCCGTCGCCTTCGTACTTCCAGAGCACTCGCTGCGGCAGCGCGGCGAAGGCCGCCAGCAGGGCCTCGATGACGGCCTGGGGCAGCGAGTTGGAGCGCACCAGCGAGCCCATCGAGAAGACGATGACGCCGTCCTCCGCCCCGTCCATCCACTGGCGGATGGCCTGTCAGGCCAAGGTCAACATCAAGGTCAAGGTCAACATCAAGGTCAGGGTCAACATCAAGGTCAGGGTCAACATCAAGGTCAGGGTCAACATCAGGGTCAGGGTCAACATCAAGGTCAGGGTCAACATCAAGGTCAGGGTCAACATCAGGGTCAGGGTCAACATCAAGGTCAGGGTCAACATCAAGGTCAGGGTCAACATCAGGGTCAGGGTCAACATCAAGGTCAGGGTCAACATCAAGGTCAGGGTCAACATCAAGGTCCACAGGTCAACATCAACGTCAACATCAAGGAAGTAAGCGGATGTCTTGCACGAATAATTGACCGTCAAAGGGCATAAATCGTTAATGCCTTTGGGAAGGGCATTAAAATTTTGCTTGGAAATTCCTTTACCATTTACGCCCTTCCGAAGGGCATAAAACGATTTATGCCCTTCCAAGGGCGTAAAAGAGTATTTATGCCCTAAGGCGTAATTTTTATGCCTTTGTTTTACCAGTGTGGCCTTCCTCACAGGCGCTAAAAGACGAACAACACGGGTGACGACAGCACGGTGAAACCAAGTGTGCACTGGTGTCAAATTCATCAGGATTTCAATCAGGAAATTCCTGATTGGTCAATCAGGATATTTTCTGATTGGTAAATCCTGATGTATTTTCGCGCACCTCTGATTGATGATTTCTGATTGGTACCAGTTCTGATTGACTATTTCTGATTGTGTTTTTTCCTGAGTGGACAGTTCTGATTGGTAAGACAACTTCAAACATCGGTAATATGACCGTGCCGGGGCACATTCAAAATTGATGATAACTTCTCTGGGGGTTCAAAACTGAGTCCGATCCAAATCTGAAGTCCGATTTTCGATAGCTCGTGATCAGGCCTCGATATGCTACTAAAGATGATCCGATGTGTATGAAATTAAAATGGCCCTAGCACTGTGGCAAAAAGCTACGGAATATTCTGTAAACAGCCTGTGGTAATTCTCCGTAGCCCCCTTATCAATATTCTCCGTAGGCTCTTACAGTATTTTCTGTAGGACCGCACAGTATTCTCCGTAGGACCTTACAGTGATCTCCGTAGGACTATACAGTCTTCCAGGTCCTACGGAGAAGACTGTGCGGACTTACAGAGAATACTGTGCGGCCCTACGGAGAATACTGTAAGAGCCTACGGAGAATATTGATAAGAGGGCTACGGAGAATTCTGGCAAAAAAATTAACAGAATTTTCCGTACCTTTTTGCCACAGTGAGTCAAATCGGCTGAACATGTCACATACCAAATTTGAACCCGATACCGCAAATACTTTCCATTTTATAGGCATCTGTACTTTGACACCATCAAAATTTCCTGATTTTCTTTTCTGATTTCTGAGTGGCAATCAGCAATCAGAAAAGCAGTCAGAAATTTTCTGATTGCCAATCAGAAATCAAATATCAGGAAATTTCTGATTGGCACTCAGACATCAGAAATCAGGAATTTTCTGATGTCGGTACTCAATCAGGATTTTTTCTGATTGACAATCAGAAATCAGAAAGAATTCCTGATTGACAATCAGAAATCAGAAAATCAATCAGGAAAATCCTGATTTCTGATTGGAAATCAGAAATTCAATCAGAAAATCCTGATGGCATTTACACCAGTGTGGACAACTCCACACTTTCTTGTGCAGAGTAGTTCATCTCCACTCTAGATGGAGTGTGCAGTCCCCACACTTGAAACGTGGAAAAGCTCACAGTTGCCCTCTCGCTTGGCATGCTGCAGTCGTGGAGAACACCTCAGTGAAAGTAATGGACTGCAACTCTGCACTTCTTATTGCGGAGATTGAAAATTCCACGCCTGGGGTTCCTCCGCACTCGGTTTCACAGTGTTGGCGTACCGGCGGGATGTTCGCGAGGCTGGGCTCGTCCCGGAGGTGGATGCCGCCCACGTCGATGACGTTGGGGTTGACGGGCCGCGCCGGGTGCACGCTCACGTGCCGGTTCACCATCACCAGGCTGGTGTTCTTCACCAGCTCGGAGATGGGTGGCGTGTCCTCGCCGAAGAACTCGCGCAGTACACTTTTAAAAAAATTTACTTAAAATTCATAATTTTTTGGGTCGATTTAAAACTTAGTCTGAATTTCAACAAAATTTTTACCGCGGTCGAAAGTCAGACGACGTTGCCCAATTTTCAGATCAAAATGTGTTTAAAAAATTTTCCCGTCGGTTATTTTAGACAAGTCGTCGGAAAATTGAGCAGTCGCACTAAAATATGCCCCGTTGGAGAGCACAAATCGGGTGAACTTTTGCCATCGTTTATCGTGGCGCTCAGAAGGAAAGTTTGGTCAAAAATTAGGCCCCCGGCAAGCTCCTATTGGAAAGGTAGGAAGAGCTGGGTGGGGCTCTGAATTGCGAGGGAGAGCGGCCCTTAGCCCCAAACCCCCGCCGACCCGTGGAATGCGCGAGAAGTGAAATTGTATTCTTGTTATTTAGCTTAAACTGCATTATTAACCTAAATTTGCTTTGGTGCGCCATGCCCTTTCAAAAATACTTGGAAAAATTTTTACAAAATCCCAGCCCAAAAACGGAATTTTATCAAAGAATAGGGCCCGCGATCGGTGGCAAAACCATTGGAAAAGGTAAAAAAATGCTATTTCGCCTTCAGCGGAATTTTACCCGTCTCCATCGCACAGGCCACCGCGGGAGGGGATGTGTCCATTGGAGCCCCCCCAAACTCATGCTTTTAGGGGCCCCTAAACGTATTTTTAATCCCCCCGGGTGGTTTTTAAAGTTCGGAGATTCGTGTCGGGGAAAAACCGGGTTTTTTTCACTCGTTTTCCTTTCCACAAATTAATGGTTATTTTTCGGACGACAATGTAACAAAAATTGAACCATCGCTCAAAAAATTCAGACTTGCAGCCCCTAAATTAAAAATTTAGACAACATCAAACTTTTCAGACGGGTGGTCTGTAAAATTCGACCATTTTATGGAATTTCAAATTCAGACCACCAAGTAAGAGGAAATATTCGATTTCTATTGTTTTAACATGTACTTGTCGCTGGGTTGAAACAATTTTCCGCCCCTTAGACCAAAATTTTCCAATACGGAAAAATAGGTGCAAACAATTGCCATTCACTGAACTTATGAGCAAGAAAAATGCTGGTCATTCCTAACTGGATAAATTAAGATCGACGAATTTTACATGGGCCCCCAAACCATCTTTTTGGCTGGGGCGATACCGAACCGTTAACCAGTGGGTTGAAAATTTTGTCTGTCGTGGGTCTGTCGCTGCCTTTCCCTGTGGTCCTTCGCTTCCCCACAAACTTTGAAGGCTGGCATTTTCTGAATTTTGAACACTTTTTTAAGGGGAGCCTTGGCTGGCAAGCAAAATTTACCTCCAGTTGGTTAAAAGTTTTCTGGGGGCCCTTTTTCGCGTGGTTTCTGCGTGCCCCACTTTTTCCTGAAAAGGGGGTCTGGGGGGCACCCGGAGCCTTTCCGGCAAGGAAAATACCAGTCAAGTCGTTTTATCGAAAAATAAAAAACCTTTTTTCCAATGTAGGGGGGGTCTGGGGGGCGGAGCCCCCCAGCATCAACAATTTAATAACCGACAACGGACCAAGCCATTCCTGCCGCCAGGCGGGCCCAGCCCCGCAGGCCAGGTAGGTACGCCAGGCGTGATGGAGAACAGGAGGAGACCGGGGCCTGTTACGACAAGACGGGGTCTGGCGTAAACCTATTTTTCGCGATGTCTCGCTGCCTGTTCCTCCAATCCACGCCTGGCGTACCTACCTTGGCCTGCGGCGCTAGCCTGCCTGCGGCAGGCAATGGCTTGTCCGTTGTCGGTTATTTTTTAACTTGTTGAATGCGGGGGGGCTCCGCCCCCCAGACCCCCCTACATTGTAAATAGAGTTGTTTTATCTACAGATAACACGATCTTGACCCTTGTCACTTTTTAACTTGTCGAGGCTGGGGGCTCCGCCCCCCAGACCCCCCTTTCTCCAAGACAGAAGTGGTCTCTCTGCAGAAATCTCTATTTTTCGCCGTTTTTTAAGTGTTTTTCGCCTATGAAAACTGAACCACACTGTTAAAAAAATCAGTTGTAATTTTCATAACATTGGTTGGCATTTTTTTTCACAAACAATTGTTATGAAAATTAAAATCACAAATGATTGTAAATTGTTTTACAATCACGTTATGAAAATTCATATCATGTTATGAAAATTCATATTCGCGTTTGCGAGGTCATTTTAGAGCAGTTAAGCAAAAGGACAACTAAGTGTTCATGTATATGAACACCCAAGCGGCCTTATGCCATTTATTGAACCGAATCTGCTTTTGATCAGCGGGTTTCGAACCCGGGATCTTTGACTTGTTGTGCACGCTCTTTACCGCTGTGCTACCACGTCCCACGGGAGGCGAAGGGTCAGCTACTGATGACTCTACCAGCGCCCCTTGGCCACGCCTCTTGAGCTAGTTATGAAATTTACAATCGGATTCGGAAAATTACTATTGTGTGCTCAAAATCAACATTTAAGATTCGCAATTTTCAGAACATGGTTTTAAAATTACCAACAATTGTCAATTTTACGAAATTGTTTCGAATTTTCGCATCAAGTTATGAAAATTGCAATGTTTGTAAAATTCATATCCGTATTCGTAAAATTGTCATCAAAATTGCTTTGAAAATTCATAACTTTTTTAACAGTGCAGTTGAGCTAGGATAGTGAAATTTCGCGTGTGCCGAGCCAAGGACATACCTAAGAAGTGTGCAAAATCTCACCGAGATCGGCCGAGCCGTTCAGGAGGAGTAGTGCGGACAGACAGACCGACAGACAGACCGACAGACAGACAGACAAAACTTTTCAACCCCACTGGAGTAACAGGCTTCGCTATCGCTCAGCCAATCACCATCTACGTAGAGTCTAAGAAAAGGCCAGATGGCATGGTGTGGAATGTGCCAGTAATCGATCTTCGAGGAGTGGATTGCCTACCGTGAGGAGAGCCTTACCTCACAGCAGCACCAA